GAAATCGGCCGACCCACTTACAGGCCACCAGATAATGGACGCTGTAGAAAGCGACGCCGGACGTCGCCTGCTCGATAAGGACGGCGGCGTTGAGGTTGGGGGTAGATTAATAACGATTTGGCCCATTTGGGGGTTGGGGTTTTCTTTTTGAAAATTAGATACTCTTTGAGGACCTAATTGCAATTTGATGAAGTTTGACTATATTTTAATTTGGTTCATTTGCCAATATGTAATTTATAGAAAGTTTAATAATTCATATTACACATAAATAAAAAATGCCAAATATGTTGTGTACATTAACATTAAATATATTTTGTATATTCACATTATATAGTGTGTATTTCCCATTTAATTAAATTTTATATTTTTGAATTGCACATAAAAAAAAAAACCTTGAACTGCACGATGCATAATAATATTAATCATGATGCATATTAGTGGCCGTCAGACTGCACAACAACGTCTGTCCAGATGCACATTAATGAGTGCAATGACACTACATGACTGAAAAAAAATAATGTTATTTATTTTCAACAAACTATACTATAAAATATTAAATAAAAATGAATTTATTAAATATATGTTTTGAAATAAATTAAAATATTAAAATAATATAATAATAAAATAAAATAATAGATAAAATATTGAATAAATAAATAATATAAAGTAGTGCACTTTATATATCAACACTAAATATAGCAGCACATTGCACTTTATAAAACAACACATTGCACCTTACAACACAACACGTTGCACCTTACAATACAACATGTTGCACTTTATATCATGCTTTTTAAAAATATTTACTTATCATAATATAAAATATCAAATAAAAAATATAAATACTAAAACGATATAAATGCAAGAAATAATGATAATCGAAATACACATTATTGAAGTTTATAAATTCGAAACACATAAAAAATATTCGATCAGTTGATTGCACAATAAAGATAGACGAATTGCACATTATTGTCTGCTCGATTGCACTTTATGGATTTTGATTTTTTTTTATATTGTATTTTCAGCTATAAATATAAATTATTCAATAAAAATATTTATTTATATATAATGTACTTTATAATATACATAATAATATAAGAAACAAAATTTTGCAATAATAAAAATAATAATTAAAAAGCTATTTTAATTATTTAGGTTAATTCAATGTACAATTATACACATAATTTATATGGTAATGTATAAATTAGACAATGCACTTTATATAACGGAATATCGCACTTTATTACCTCATCTATCTAAAAAAACATAAAAATGCTAACGTCGCAAAATTAGTACGTTGCACTTTATACAGTAATACGTTGTACCTTATAAAACAACATATTGCACTATATAAAGTCGTGTACAATATTGTTAATATCTAATAGGCTATTAACACGACCAAAGTCGTGTACAAAATTATTAGATAAAATGGACATTAATGTCTCACATATTGCACGCTATAGCAATCAAACTAATCGAAATAAGATTTTCTGATCGAAATTTATATATTAGTTCGATTATCATTTTATATTTATAAAATTTTGGTTATTACGGTTCAATATCAACTTTATTTATTTAAATTTACTTATCAATATCTTATATATATCAAATTTTAATAATTTAGTATAAAATATTTAAATTACATCTGGTCGAAAGACCGGCCTAAGCCCACCCGACTAGGGGGACTGAGAAATTAATAGAGTACAAAACTTATCTTCAAGCTTTACCTTATTCTGATCGTTCAGAGGGCGATCGCGGGGTCACTCTTCAGGTCCTACCATCTATCTCAATTACATCGACCCTACGCTTTCTAATTAATTTATAATGTAATTAGAGTTTTTTAAAAAATAGCAAATAACTCCCCATAATTAACCTAGTTGCAATTAAATACCCACCCAAAAGCCATTTCATCCCCAATTTGAATTACATCCCCAAATTGACACATTTCTTCACAAACAAAAAACACGGCCGCACTCCCTTCTACCTACAAATCGCCGCCACCGGATCGATTGCCCATTTGTCGGAGGTTCTCGATTCAGCCGGCGGAGCTTGATAGCTGGAGGTGCTCTATTCTGCCGGCGGATCTTGTCAGCCGGAAATTGGACATCTGAATTTGACCGGCGACACACAGAGAGGAGACGGACGGCGCGGACAGCATCGGCGACGAAGAGTGACGACGATTCTGGTGTTGGCTGGAGCGGCTAGACGTGGTGGATAATTGCAGACGGTGGGTGTGCGGCGGCGGGCCTGTTCGCGTTGTGGCTAGGGCTGGTGGTTGTTGGTGTCGATGACGGGACCGGTGGTGTTTCGAGTCGTTGTCGGGGATGGTGGTGGTTGGTGGCTGGATTGGTGGTGGTCGGAGCGGCTAGATGTCGGGGTTGGAGATTTGCAGACAGTGGCTGTGCGGTGTCGGGTCTGTTCGCGGCTGTGGTAGGGATGGTGGTGGTTGGTGTCGATTCCAGGGCCGGTGGTGTTTCAAGTCGGCGGCGAGGCTGTTGGTGGTCGGAGGCTGGACTGTTGTGGGTTGGGGGCTGAGATGGTGGTGGTTGGTGGCGGGGCCTGTTGAGGTTGGTGACAGGTATTCGGCGGCGGATTGTTGTGCGAAGGAGGTTTGGCTCCGGCTGATCTGTTGGTGGCGCCACCGTGTGTGTGTGTGTGTGAGATTGCAGATATGAATCGGGGGAGGAGATATGTGATGAGAGAGAAAATAGCTATTTAATTGGTGGGTGGGTCCCACATAAATGTATGTGTATGACTAACTTACCCCTAATTACTAGTCAAATGCACATATTTGACCGCATTATGATTAAATAATTACCAGAATGTCATTAATGATTGACTATAATTTGACTTCATTATACCCATTGATGTGATTGATCACATGGTCCAGATTCATTCTTATTTCTTTCACTATCTACCATTCTCATGTGATCCTAACTCTATATATATATATATATATATATATATATATATAGGGAGTAATTCAAATAAAAACTAGGAGAACCGTGAGAACCATATTTGATGCTATTTTTTATTGTGTATGACGCTATTTTTAATATTACATTGTGCTATCATTTTCACAAATGCTAATATA